CCATCCAGGCACCCCTAGGGTTTCTTTATTTTTAATAACTTTCAGTAATTATACTATATTTATACATTGATCCCAAGATGGTGTTGATGGTAAGACTCAGAAAAATGAAATCTTGCCATTTGCAACAACGTGGATGGAACTAGCGTGTATTATACTAAATGAAATAAGTCAGAGAAAGACAAATACCATGTAATCTCACTTACGTGAAATTTAAGAAAGAAAACAGATGTATAGCAAGAGGGGAGGAAAAGGAGAGAGGGAAGCAAGCCATAAGAGACCCTTAATGATAGAGAACAAACTGAGGATTGATGGAGGGAATTGGGGGGAGATGGGATAGATCGGTGATCGGTATTATAGAGGACACTTGATGTGGTGGGCACTGGGTATTGTAAGTGATAAATCACTGAATTCTACTCCAGAAACCAATATCTCATTGTCTGTTAGCTAAAATTGAAATTAAAAAAGAAAAAATCTTTAAAAAGAAAGATGAATTTTGAGGCACCAGGATGGCTCAGTTAGTGGAGCATACAAGTTTTGGTTTCAGGATGCTGGGTGTAGAGAGGACTTTAAAAATGAAAAAGAAATCTTAAAAAAAAAGACTCCCCATTGATTTAATAACAAGGGTTATTGGAATATCTGTTACAAAAGAGGTTGAAATAGAGTAGTCCCTATAAAATCAAGGGAGTCAAGAGAGGAAGGTTATAGGGTGACTTTAGAAAAGATAGTACAGTTTTTCCCTGCTCTCTGAAAGTTGAGTGTTCCTATGAAAGATTTGATTAAACGCTATTTTCACTTTTTGCTTTTCTTTATAGAAGTGAAAATCCTCTTTTGATCTCTTTTGACTTGCAAAAACAGATATTAATGTAGTTCTTTTGTAAAAGTAAAGTGGCATAACACAAACTTTTGAAAAGCAGGGGATACCTGTCTTTTGAACTGGCAACAAGAGAAAGTTTCTAATAGATAGAAAACTGAGAAGTAGACCAAATTGTGAAACAGGAGTTTATGTAAGGTGACTGGAATATACTGTATGTAGGTAGGTGGGGTATATAGTATCTTAAAGTATCAGACTTGAGAGAAGTGAGTATATCAGTAACTTGCTTTAGGACTTACTGATTTTTGAGGTAGTGTCCTGATAGATTAACTATTGTATACATTCTTGTTTAATTTTCCAGTTTTGTATTGATTCTGAAAACAAGTCCTATGTAATTACAGGGATTTATTTTATTTATTAGCCTAAAGTAATTAAAATATAGTTCATAGAAACTTACCTGAAATATCTTTAAAACATATAATTTAAGATTTTAAATGACTTAATTTTCAGATGTTCCAGTATATTTTTGGCAACAGCTTTAAGTTTTGACAAGGAAATACTTTTTGGAGAGAAGTACCTTTTCTTAATCACTGATTACTAGTTACTTGTGGAAAAGATTCTTCTCTTTTGGTATTGATTGCGTTGTCTAAAGATCAGACTCTGTATATCTTTTTTTTCTATATAATACTGGATGATAGTAACCTTTCAAATAACTTTTTCCTTAATTGACTTAATAGGAAGGGTGTTTTGCTAAAGATACTTGAATTTGTTTGCTCCTGACATTTTAAGTTCAACTCATATATTGAAATATGATCCAGGAAGGTTAGCACTTGCTTTTGCTTGTTTCTTGTTGTTTTGTTTTTCGTTTTTGTTTGTGTTTCATTTTGTTTGTTTTTAAGTAGGCTCCATGTCTGATGTGGGGCTTGAACTCACAACCCTGAGATTAAAGGTCAGTCACATGCCACACTGAGAGAGCCAGCCAGGCACCCCAACTTTTGCTTGTTCAAAAGTCTTGTTCTTAGTCTGTCCTACTCCTGTCCAATTCTCCTTTCCATTTAAAAAAAAAAAGAAAGAAAAGTAGATTTTTAAAAAAAATTTTTGGCTACATATATAGATATTTTCAAAGTTGGGGTATATCTTCTGATTTACAAATATCTTTGCTGCTGACCAAGACTGGGTCATGAGAATGAGCCCCAGATCAGGCTCTGTGCTCAGTAGGGAGTTAGCTTGAGATTATCTCCATCTGCACCTCCCTCCACTTGTGCACAGACTCTCTCTCTCTCTCTCTCTCAAAAATAAGTAAATGAATCTCTTAAAAATATATTAATATTTAAGAAGATACATTGTTGTATGCTTCAGATTCCAAAAGTATAGAAACATATACAGTGAGAAGTCACCTTACACATAGGATGCTATATATTTTCCCTGGTGTATCCTTCCAGAGATATTTTTAATATATACAAATACTGCATATATTATGGTCTTTGATCATAAAACCTACTTTGAACATGATTTTGTGTCTTACTTTTTTCCCATTTAAATCATAAAGATGTCTCCACAGTTTTATACCCTGTTATTATATCATCATTTAACACTTTTTACCTGATTTAACTACCTTTGATGAATCCTTTGTTTTTGCAGTCTTTTGCTATTTTTAAATAATATTACAAATTAGTAAACAGAGGCCTACCTCATTCCACCAGTATGCTAGCATATTTATGGGACAAGTTCCTAGGGGAATTGCTGGGCTTATATTCATTTATATTTTGGTAGATATTGGCAGTCTGCTTGATATATAGAGTGGTGGTTTTGAACCAGGGGCAGTTTTGCTCCAGGAAGACATTTGGCAAAGTCTGAGACACGATTTTTCATGGTTTGGGACAGGGGCTGTGCTCTTGGTATGTTTGAGAGCTGATTGGGTTATGTGAACTGTTCAGATCCTTTGTTCATTTTCCCATAAGAGTAATCATGCCCTTTGTTCAATATATAAATTTTAAATACCTTTTCTATGTGTCTGTCTTTTGATTTCTGCATGGCAAAAACACTATGAACATTTTAAAAAAACAATGTATATAAAGGGAGTTTCTGAGTTTTGGTAGGAAATGTTTTCCCTAGTATCAGTTATTCAAGGAGTCTTCCATCTTTGTGGGGACACTTTTATCATTTCATTTTGTGCATTTTGATATTTGATGTATTTGGAATTTATTCTGGTATAAAGTTTAAATACAACTTATTTTTTCCAGTTCACTACCTAATCACACTATGGCTATTTAATAAATAATCCATCTTTTTTACTGATTTTAAGTACTATTATCACATACAAACTTCTCATGTATTTGATTCTAAAAATATGTTTTAATGAAATCAATATCTTGGAGATATCTGCACTCCCAATGTTTATTGCAGCATTATTAACAATAGCCAAGATATGGAAACAACCTGTGTCACCTACAGATGAATGGATAAAGAAGATGTGGTGTGTACACACACACACACAGACAGACATACACACAATGGAATATTATTTAGCCACAAGAAAGAAGGAAATCCTGCTGTGCAACAGTGTGGATGAACCTGAAGGGTCCATACTAAGTGCAATAAGCCAGACAAAGAAAGACAAATGATGTGTGGTACCACTTATAAGTGAACTAAAGAAAAAAAGCTGATTTCATGGAAACAATAGAATGGTGACTCCTAGAGGTCTAGAGGAGGGGAAAGTGGGGAGATGTAGGTCAGAGGGTATAAGATGAATAAGTTCTGAGGATCTTATATATAGCATGATGACTATAGTTAATAATATAGTACTATATATTTGAAATTGGCTGAGAGTAGATCTTAAGCCTTCTCACCACACATGCACAAAAAATGAGTTAACTGTGAAGTAATGCATGTGTTAATTATCTTGATCTTAGTAATCATTATACAGTGTTATAGCAAATAATCCTGTTTTACACTAAATATATATAATTATTACATTTTTCATATATTTCAATCAAGTGGGAAAATATAAATAAAATATATTTTAGTATCTAGTAGGATGGCAAGGCTATTCCCTCAGTACTCTTATTTGGCTTTTTCCTGCCTATTCTTATTTTTTAATATAAACTTCAGAATTTGCTTATATGGTTTAAAAAAGTTGTTTTGTTATAATCACATTTTAGTTGTTGACTAAGTAGAATTGATATCTTTTATGATGTTGAATTTCCTCTCTGAGAACATTAAGTGTGTGTGTGTATGTCTTAGGAATGTTTTAAAGATCTCTTTATGTAGACTTATACTTATTTAGTTTATCTCTATGTTTTATTTCTTTGTTGTTGCACTTGTAAATGGGGTCTGCCATTACATTTTCTAACTGGTTATTTGTATATATGAAAGCTTATTTCTGTATACCAATTTGTACTCAAGTTCTTATTGTTTGATTAATTTTTCAGTTGATTTTCCAATATACAACCATTATCTACAAAGATTAATATTTTTATCTCCTTCTTTCCAAATTATTATACCCTTTCTCTTGTCAGTTTATATTTGCTAGAAATTCCAGAACAATATTAGATAGATGATAAAAAAAAATTGTGGTAGAATACTTTTTCTGAAAGCTTCTTATATTTTAGAACAGATACTTCCTTATTTCCTTTTCTAAACTTGAGGCTAGCTGTTGGTGGATTGACAATGTTATAGATAATTCTTTCATATTGGAAATATTCATCACTTAAACTCCTTTTAAAGAGTTTTCATCAATAGAGGGTGTACATTTTTTTAAATAATTTTATGTCAGTTTTTTTCAAGTGCATTAAGCATCCATTTGTTGGATCTGTTTTCTACTTTCATAATGTTTTTTTTTAAGATTTTATTTATTTTTTCATGAGAGACACAGAGAGGCAGAGACATAGGCTGAGGGAGAAGCAGGCTCCCCGCAGAGCCTGATGCGGGATTCGATCCCCACACTGGGATCATGCCCTGAGCCAACGGAAGATGCTCAACGGCTGAGCCACCCAGGTGTCCCAATATATAAATTTTTAAATGCCTTTTCAGCATCCATTGATATGATACAATACAATATTTTTCTTCTTAAATCCATTAGAATGAAATATGAGTAGATCTTCCTGTCTTTTACTATCCTTGCATTGCTGTATAAACCTCATATAGCCGAGAACTATTAGTTTTTAATATTCAGTGCTTTTTCTCACAGGTTTATCATGTTCATTCTGATAGCTATGAGACACAAAACCAGCACTATGGAAGAAGCTTAACAAAAGAAACTCTAAAGGATGGTAAGGATTGAAAAAACATACTATTACTGCACAGTTATCAAAATGATTCTAAAGTAATTTCAATCTTAATTCTTCTTTGTTATAGTGATTCAATCCATAAGTAAACTTAAAAAAACCCTTAAATTGATAAAACCGCATTAATCATAATCCCTGGTTTGTAATACACCAAAACCATGGATCCATGAATGCTTTCTTTTACATTTAGTTCATTTCTTATTTATTGTTATACATAAAAAAAAATAATGGACATCAGTGAACCAGTAATACAGTCCAAGTCCTAAACTAGAGTTGTCTTCAAATCCTAATATGTAAATCATAGTGTATTAAAACTGTATACTGTTACATAAGAGAACTTTAAAATGTGTATTATTGTATGTAATGTATTTTTATTGAAATCTCCCATGTGTAGTTTAATTGTGTATTATAAGTTTCTACAACTACATAATAAGTAAATGGCTTTAGAAGCAGTTTAAATAAAGCCTGTTAACATACATGCTTCTAAAATAACCAAGCTATTACAAAAACAATAATACCTTAATAGGTTTCTGGAGATATTATTCTATTAAACGTTTATTCTTAGCTTTGCCTAAGATGGGAAAGAGTTTATGTGTAGTGTAAATAGTTTGAAGAAAAATTTTTATTTTATATGTAGAAAACAAACATACACTGTGTGATCTTAACAGTATTTGCCTTGGTTTACTTAACCAACAGCAGGATAATATTCAATTGGCTCTTTATTAAAATATTTTGCAGGCTAATATGAATATATTTTTTTAAATAATTTCTGTCCCAGAGTGGAGGAACAAGCTATTTAAGAGTAGAAATCAAATTATATATACCCATAAATTCTCAAATATAATAAAATAAGCATAAATAATCTTAAAAGATTATTAATAATCTGATAGGTTAAAACATGTAAAAATCTCAATTTTGAAGAACATATTCAACCTGGAGTAGTGTTGATCCCCAAAGAGAGCTTAACTTTTGTGAAGACTGATTTAATCAACTTTATTAAGAACAAAAGGATTTATTATAGTTCATTATTTGATATTTTGGCTGTTGGTAATTTTTTTAAAGACTTATTTATTTATTTATTTATTTATTTATTTATTTATTTATTTATTTATTTATTTATTTATTTATGACAGACAGAGAGAGAGAGAGAGGCAGACACAGGCAGAGGGAGAAGCAGGCTCTATGCCGGGAACCCGATGCGGGACTCGATCCCAGGACTCCAGGATCGCGCCCTGGGCCAAAGGGAGGTGCCAAACCGCCCAGCCACCCAGGGATCCCTGTTGATGCTATTACAAGTGGCTGTGATTTGACTCTAGGTTTTAGATTAGCTCTTGAGTATGATTCTAACAAACAAATAACCTTATTAAAAAATCCCTCACACTAGCAAATGAAGCAAATCTTATCACATTCCTCAAGAGAATATAGAGAGAACTAAACTACCAATCTTAGTGTAATAATTTTTTAAATCTAAGTAGTATATTTCACTTTACTTATTTAACTTTACATAAGTGTCATTTTCTAGTAAGAGAATCCTCCACACTAGAAATTAAGTTTGAGGTCCAAGTTTCTCTGACTAGAATTTTACCTGTTCAGTTAATTGCAAGGGGTGATGGGAAAAAGTTGAAGAATTCTATCTAAGATGAATTCACTTCCCAGGTGATAGCGAGTTCATAGTTTCATTATAATCCTAATATTTTCCTATTTATAGGAGTTTCCAGGTTTTTTCATAATGGATTCTGCTTAAGAAAAGATGCTGTTGCTGCCAGTATTCAGAAAGTTGAGAATATTCTGCAGTGGTTTGAAAATCAGAAGCAGCTTAACTTTTATGCAAGTTCATTACTGTTTGTTTATGAAGGTTCATCTCGGCCAACTACTACAAAATCAAATGACAGAACTTTGGTAGAAAAGTTTTTGTCCAAAGGGCAACTGTCAGGTGCAGATGTCCTGGAGTACAATAATAACTTTCATGTGTTAAATTCTACAGAGAATGGGAAAATAGATGCTTCAGTAGGCAAAAGCTTGTCCAAGATGTATGCTCGTCACAGAAAAATGTGTTCAAAAAAGCATCACAGTCAGACTTCATTGGAAGTTGAAAATATAGAGCAAGACAATGGGTGGAAAAGCATGTCACAGGAACATTTAAATGGAAATGTACTTTCCCAACTGGAAAAAGTTTTCTATCATCTTCCCACTGGTTGCCAAGAGATTTCAGAAGCAGAAGTGCGAATGATAGATTTTGCTCATGTGTTCCCTAGCAACACAATAGATGAGGGATATGTTTATGGGCTGAAGCATTTAATTACTGTGCTGCAAAGTATTTTAGACAATTGAATCCTTTGCTGCAGTCTTTTAAGGGATGGGGCAATCGTAAGAGCAGCAGTCGATATCTCTGCACTTGTAAAGCTATGTAAAAAATTTGTATTGTGAGTCTACATTTTGTCTTTATACTTTTGGTAGAAGGGTTATCTTTTTTATAATCTTACTCAGGAAAACTAATTATTTGTTCATTAGAAAACTATGAAGAATAAAGAAACTTAGGAATGTTAAGCAGGGAATGTGGTGGTACATGGCTTAAACATCTGTTTGGCTCAAGCAAAATGCAAACCATTATTCAGTCATTAAGAGTTTATTTAGCTTTCTGTAGCCAATTTGTCATGAAATCTCTATCCACCCAACCTTGACAATGAGCCATATCTAAACTCATTAAATTATTTGAAGACTTTAAAAAATCTAGAGAGCACAGGTTGATGTCCTTAGTGTTACTATGTATGAAGTTATTAAAACTGGAGAAAATTCTACTTCAGAACAGTTAAGTACTGTTTAGGTTTTATATTAAAAGTTCAGACCAGCATATCAAAAGGTGCTTCTTAATAAAGCAATTCAGAATCATTGTATTCCAAAAGCAGATTTTCTCTTTAATTTCCATTTATATGCCTATTTCAATATATTATACTTCACAAGAAAGATAATTCAACAACAACAACAAAAATCTTGAAATTAGAGTCACTAATAATTATTCTTGCCAAGGTTAGGAGAAAAGAGAAGTTATTTGCCAGGAACATAATGTTTTTCTTTTAAAATTGGAATATATATTTACTACATTGTGAAAGGTGTTGTAAACCATATAAATACTGTTTCCTCTAACTGCAGCTTCAAAACATAGATGATTGAAGCTTTGTCTTATTTCTCCTTTAAATAGCTATTGAGAATTTTCTCTTTTAAAATTCATGTCCCCATTTGGTTCAGCACTAGTATAAATATATGTTGTGCTAAAAAGAATTCTCAGAATTCTAATAAGTAGTGAAGGACACCATCCAGTATTGTGTTACCAAAAATATTATGTGTAAATTAGTGCATCACTATGAATTTGGTGCATATCTAAATCCATGCTTCTATTTCACTCTTACTCAAAATGGTTTTATATCCTATTCCAGAGAGAGATTATGATTTACTTTTGTAATAGGTGGCGGAGATGCCATTTTTCCTGGAAAAATTAGATTTTTTAAGTATTATATGTGTTTCACATATATCAGCATTTTAAAAAACAACTATTATTTGAAAACATTTAAAACTTTGAAATTAAATTTACAAATATGTTAGATATTTATGAAAGCATTACTTGCACTTTGATTCACTAATAACCCTGCTAAGTAGTTAAGAGTTTTGTCATATTCCTGGAAAATGTTTTAGATTTGTGGGCTGTTGGACTTCTGCCCTCTCTTTTTCCCCTAGAATTACAAATTCAAGTTTTAATTCTGAGCAGCTTTTTTTTTGGTATGGAGGAAAGTATCACAATTTTTTTATATTTATCTCACTTTCCCAACCTCTCTAAGTGTACTTTGCAAATACCTGAGCACAAACAGAAGTACCAAATGCTTTGTGAATTCTATGCTTAGTAAGTCTGTTAAACCCGAATTACTTTAAAATTCATATACATTTTGTTATAGCAAAATTTGTTTTAAATTTTTTACTTAGGATCAGTATAAGTATTTTTCATAGAGACTTCATATTTTTCTCTACTGTCTAAATGAGTATTGGCTGTAGCTTTTTTTTGTGAGGATGAATTTCAAGTCCTAGTAAATAGTAAAAAAAAAAAAATTTAATTTTACTTTTTTTCTCCTACAGTATAGACTTTTGTTGTTGTTGTTGTTACTTGGACAGTAGTTCAATAAGTCTTAAACTCAGATAATTAACAGTTCTGAGTCTTAACAAGAGGCTTTTTTTGTATGGGATGGTATCAGCCTATATACAGTGAATTTAATAAATTTAAGTATTACCAGACTTTTTGCACATTTTAGCTCAATAAAGTGTGAATCAGCTGTTCCAGATTTTCTTTATCCATATTTGGAAATACAGTTTTGTAAAAATCAATGTCTTACCTTTTTGATACAGTAGATCATCTTTTGTTTTACCAAAACAAGAAGCGCTTTTATCTTTTGTTTTTCAGGGAAGAGATTAACATTTAATTCTGTTTACATTTTTTATCACTGTTATCCAATACCCATTTTCTGTTACTTTATTAGTAAACCTTACATGTCACAGAGTAAGTATTTATGTAATCTACATGTGAATATTTTACTATCTAGCCCAGTTATATAACATTATGCTGAAATTTACCACTGTGGGGAAGAATGATCACTATTTACCAAGCATATTTAAACATGTACATGTTTAAGAAATAAGCATAATAAGGATATAGTTTGAGTTAATAGGATTATCATAGTTTTTTCCCCCCCTAGGATACATAAATAATGATTTTAGTGTATTTCATATGGAATGCACTCATGAAAAGGACTTTTAAAAAATTGTGGATAGTGAATAATACATTTCTCTAATAAAAATTTAAATTGGATAATAGTTTTATAATGAAGTATTTACACTAATTGATATTTTAATATGGGTGGGAAGTTGCATAGGTTGAAATAAATTAAAAATTGATAAGTGCTAAATATTTTATCTAAATAGTTTTGCAAGAAACAGTTGTGAAAATGTGTATATTAAAATGGCTCTAACATGGAGCTTGGTATTTTCAACTCAGTATTCATTATTCATTATTCTTTGTTTAATGTGTCTGGAACGATCTTACTATGCCTCTTACACTACAATTTCCTATTGTGGGGCTTAAGGTTATGTTCAACTGAATAAGAACTTTTTTTTTTTACTTTGAGTGTAACCTACTATTTTATGATTTCCAAGACGATGTTCTTCATACTATCTCTATAATGTCAGTATATTAAATTCCTAATACATCTTAAGAAAAAGGAATTAATTTTTAGAGATATTTCAGTTGCAACTGATTTTCATGCAACTGAAGACATTTGTTTCTAGGATTTGGAATATTGTAGAAAATACAGGATGAAAGAAAATGGAATGAAACAATTTTATTTGTGAATTTGCAAAAATTTTGTCCACTTTTTAAAACATTGTCATCATTTTAGTACTCTTTTAGCAGTTAGGCATTTGTTAATTTAAAACTTGATTTGCTCTTAAAATTGTTTACAATGCTTTGTAATAATCTTCCTTATCCAGTGCCTTTAATCTTGATTTGATGTTTGTAGCCTCAGTTATCCTTCCACTACATCCTGTAATATTTTTATAGTTTCTTTAAAAAAAATGTCAATTTGATCATGTAAAGAGGTAGCAATTGTCTATCAGTGCTTTGGGAAGACAAGTAGAGTTGCCTATGGAGGCCGGGCTTAATTCATTCAAAAATACTTAGTGGATGTCTACCAAATAAAGCATTTTCGGCCCCTGAATATACAGTTGTGAACCAATCAGGAAAAGCCCTAATTAACCATTTTCTGCATTCTGTCTAGATGGGGTGGGTTTGGGGACCTAATTAAAATAGAGATACAGAAAAATATGCATTTAACAATAATAAAGTTAACTGGCATTTGAATTTGTGTACAGATAAGGGAATGAGCTGAGACAAAGTAACTGACAATATATTAGGTTAAAAATAATATTTTGCAGCATTATAACCTCTATTTGACTCCTGAGTTCAGGTAGCAATTATAGATAGGATAAAAAGGCCTTAATTTTTCACTTTCTTGCCGGTAAAGGTACGTTTATTTTTAGGCTGCCCATTTAGAGTAGTGTTTTAACAGAACATTACTGTGAAAAACATTCCATTACATATTCACAAGCAAATTACTGCACATTTTTAAAATTTGTGTTTTACAAGTAGTACAAATACTTTAGGCCTCAGTCTCATCTTCAAATTACTAATATTTTAAATTTGGCAATGAAAATGAAATTACTTTTTGACTTACAGAGTGAAGTATTGTTACTTAAAATGCTTGTTAATATTTTAGGAAGGTTGGAGTCTCCATTTTTTTTTTGATGTTTAAATTCTTGTTACTTATGTTGATAGTGTCTAATAAGAGGAAATAGCATTCATGTGATTAAATAAATTAGGAAATACTTTGAAAACTTTTAGTTGTTAAACTTTGTCATCATGGGGTTAAATTTTGGCCTGGTGTGCACTTACAATACATGTTAACAAGTTTAATTATGAAGTGAAATAGTTTCAAGTATGATGTGTAATGCACCTGCATATAAATGAAATTGGCGTGCACAAAGACACTTTACTATAAGGAGCTGTACTGGAAGATTTATGAAAGCATGTGAAATTGCACCTAAAATTGTATTAGTGACTATGCTAAATTTATTGTACTTGATGAATGAATGTATTTAGTGTAGTCAAAGTTACTTTGGCTTAAATGTCTAAATAATGTCTTTCTTTTTTTAAATGTGTTTGTAATTTGTAGTATTGATGGGGGTATTCTTGGACTGCAGGGGTTATTGTCAATGTGTGATTTGTGTTTTTATTTTATAGAATCATCTAATGTGATATACTGATTTTTATAAGTGATATTTAGATAATTCTAATAACTGTATATTTGACAACCTATTAAAATGTTTTGCATTTGATCTTTTCTTCATTAATTATTTGCTGACAAACTTCATGGTAATTTAAAAATAACTTAATCATTCAACAAATATTTACGTGCATGTTATATACTAAAAACTACAGGAATCATTAGGGATTCAAAGATTATTAAGACAAGCTGTTAATGGAAAAAAGCATATGCATTACAAATGAAAAAATATGTAAACTTTTTACCTAAATATTTTTCTATCAGATGTACCAAAATCTTTGGAATCAACCTTATAGGAGAAGTGGACTATAGCAGAAACAAAAATGACTTGTCTGTGAAAATACATAATTGTAAACTTCAGAAGGGGTAAGACAGTTTTGATTGTATTTGAAGTTTGATGAACAGCTACTTTATTAGTGACCTAAGTATTTTCATTCATTAAATAAAAAGAGAGGATACTATCAAATACCTACCCTATATTAGGCACCATATTTGGTTTGGGAGATTTTTAAAAGCTGCATAAGATTTTCAGTACATGTTCTCAAAATATGTACTGTCTGGTAGAAAAAAACTGTGTAACTATGGGATAAAATATTGGGACTATGACTGATTCTTAATCCAGCAGAGCTGTGAAAGAGTGGAGTCAGTTCTGATAAAATGCAAGAGGAAGAAGAGGGATTCATAGTCTCATTGCAGCTGTGATTCAAGGCTCCAGAAGGCTGTGTAGCATTCCTCTTTTATGCCTGCTACTGTGAACAGTGGGAAGGAGCAATACTATGTGATGTAGTTTTTAAAGATTGGCTGCCTAGCTGCTGAGACTAACAGAGAATCCTATTGTCATAGTCCCCTAGTTATAGCTCAGTGTAAGAACTAAATAAAAGCTGAAGTGAAGTAAGTGAAAATAATCACTTAAGGATTTCATTAAAAATGCAGATTCTGATTCAGTAGGACTAGACAGTGTCTGTGACACTGCTGGCCCATGTACCACTCTTTAGTAGAAAGATTTTCCAAAAGTTCTTTGGGTATAGAGTGTGCAGTGGAACTTGGATTACATTGATTCAAGCAACCAGAGCTATTTGAAAGCCAGGGAGAGTGCTGAGAAAGAATGTGAGAAAATATAGCCAGCAATGGCTCAAGTTAATACTATCCATTCTTGAATGGAAGAAATCTTCATCAGCTATGTCGGGCCATTAAACTTTCCCCCTACAGGTCTTAAGGGTCCTGCAATAACAGACCAATTTTGTTCTGTTATTCGTGCTGTTAGCTTTTTGTGTGTGTGAATGGACAACTGAACAGTCTGCATATGCCTGTTAATTACGTTGTACTTGCTTTAGGCAGAATTGATACGGTAGACCTGGTTTGGATACTCTGAAATGTTTTGAGTCAAATCTATATGTTTCTAAAAGAAGTTAGGAAGGTCTTTTTTCTTTTTTAAAAAATATTGATTTATTTTAGAGAGAGGGTGAGTGCCAGGAACAGAGGCAGATGGAGAGGGAGAGAGAATCTTAGCAGTGGAGCCCAACGTGGGACCTGTCTCACAATCCTGAGATCAACCGACTGCGCCACCCAGGTGTCCCAGGAAGGTCTTTAAAATTGTTATTTATTAAACTAATGTATGACAAAGTGCTTTGGGATGGGCACAAAAAAGATGGTGAATGTGGAAGCATCATGTAGACACTTGTTAATCTATGGAAGAATAAACAGTATCACCTCATACACTTCGAGGATCATAAGCTTAAGGTAAATAGGCTTAATTTATAGCTTATAGGGCTTGGATCCAGGTCAAAGAATATCTTTGAGAATTTGTAAAGAAACCATAACTTTTAGTTCTCAGTCTTAACTTCCATTTGCCACTCCCTATTATGGTCAACTCTAACCCATCCAGGTTATGCCAGAGGCAGAGAGAACAATATCAGTAATGGGCTAGCCTGACCACTCTGTTAGCATTCATTGCTGCATAACACCCTAAAATGTAAGTGTCTTAACAACTCTCCTTTTTTATTTGTATGGATTTGCAAGTCAGTTGGGTGATTCTGCTGATCTTGGCTAGACTTATTCATGTTTCTACAATCAGCTGGCAGGTCAGCTCAGTTGGGGGCTGGGTTGTGAGCCAGTCCAGGATGACTGGGATGACATGTCTCACATCCTTTCAGCAGGCTAGCCCCAGCATTTTATTTTGGTGGTAGTGGTCCAAGAGAAGACCCTGAAACATGGAAACACGTTACAAGCTTGTTTGAGTCAAGTTTGCTACGATTACCAAATCCAGAGTTAGTATGGGCAGGTATTGAATCTTGGTTTGTCATAGTTTATGTTTTCATCAGGCAGCAATGTTAGATCAAGTGGACAATGTGGGCATTAATTCTGTTGATCAGAACAGAGGCAGCAGGATAAGCAGCATGTGCAAATTTTAAAATCTCACTTGTTTTCCCTTTTTAAAAAAAATGTCACCCAGGTTTCCTTTTTTAAAAGAGTTTATTTATTTATTCATGAGAGACACAGAAGGAGAGGCAGAGATATAGGCAGAGGGAGAAGCAGGCTCCCTGCAAGAGGCCCGTTGTGTGACTCAATCTCAAGATCCCAGGATTACGACTTGAGGCAAAAACAGACGCTTAACCACTGAACCACCCAGGCGCCCCCTTCACCCCATCCATTACCTCCCTAGGTAGGACCATCTGGGCAGTCTCACAGTGTCGCCATCTTCAATTTGTAGTAATATGTTATTTGGGGAATGGTTTGGTATTTTAAGCAATATTTTTTTCCCAAGTTCTTATTTAAATTCCAGTAATTAACATACAGTATATTAGTTTCAGGTGGAGAATTCAGTGATTTACTTGGTGCTCATCACAGCAAGTGCTCTCCTTAATTTCCATTGCCTGTTTAACCCCTCCTCCAGTCCATCTCACTTCCAGTAACTATTGGTGTGCTCTCTGTAGTTAGGAGAGTGTCTCGTGGTTTGCCTCTTTCCCCCTCCGTTCATTTGTTAAATTCTGCATATGGGGGCACCTGGGTGGCTCAATTAAGCGTCTTGCCTCCAACTCAGGTCATGATCCCAGGGTCCTGGGATTGAGCCCTGAGTCAGGCTCCCTGCTCAGTGAGGAGTCTGCTTCTCCCTCTCCCTCTGCCCATCCCGCTACTCGTGCACTCGTGCACTCTCCTCAAATAAATACAGTCTTAAAATAAATTCCACATTTGGAATGTTTGAATTTGTCTTTCTCTGAGTGACTTATTTTGCTTCGCATAATAGTCTAGCTCCAGCATGTCATTGCAAACAGCAAGGTTTCATTTTTAATGGCTAATATTCCATTGTACATATGCCATATAGTATCCTAAGCAATCCTGTCTTAATGGGTTTCCTTGGCAATGACTTGAATGTTAATTGATTTTCTTTCAAATGTATATAAACTGTTATGTTCCTACAACAAAGATTATGCAAAAACCGTGTGCTTTCTATTACATACTGTAGATACAGTTCTCCAGTTGATGTTAAAACTTTTTTTAAAGATTTATTTATTTATTTTTATTTATGATAGACACAGAGAGAGAGAGAGAGAAAGAGGCAGAGACGCAGGAGGAGGAGAAGCAGGCTCCATGCCAGGAGCCCGACGTGGGACTTGATCCCGGGACTCCAGGATTGCACCCTGGGCCAAAGGCAGGCTCCGCCAAACCGCTGAGCCACCCAGGGATCCCCTAAAACTTTGTTTTTAATTGAACTAGTACTTCTGGTTCAGTTTTTAGGTGCAAGAGCTACTTAATTCTAAAATAATATTTGAACTTGAATGTGCTGTTTATTGTCAGTTTAGCTAGATTTTAGTTTTCCTAAGTCATTTTCTCCCTACTATTTTTTTCTATTGTTAGTATATAATATACCAGTGAGGGTGAAAATTCTTAGGAAGAATGTTTATGTCATAATTTCTCTTTTCTATACATTTCCCATTCATTGGGGATATAGTTTTTACCCTTTTAATACGTTCTGAATATATTTCTTGGGGAAAATAAAATTAACAAGTCTTTTAAGACCAACAACATCTCTCTACTTAACTTATCCAAAGCAGTGAGGGATTTTATCCCTAATTTCCAGTTTCTAGATTTATGGCAATTCTGTATAACCTAAGTAGGGTGATTGAATCAGACTTTTTGCTCGGTAACTACACAAATGTATGTTATGTAGCTTTTCCTGACTGTTTAATCTTTATTTTTTCTTTATAGCTTTTGTAGAGACCTTGCTTTTACAAAAGGGCTTGAATATTTGACTCTTAGAAATATGATATTCGGGACACCTAAGTGGCTAAGTGCTGAGCAGCTGCCTTTGGCTCAGGTCATGATCCTGGAGTGCCAGGATCGAGTCCCACATCGGGCTCCCTGCATGGAGCCTGCTTCTCCCTCTGCCTGTGTCTCTGCCTCTCTGTGTCTCTTATGAATAAATAAATAAAATCTTAAAAAAAAGGAAATATGATATTCATATACTTTTAAGCCATAAATAGCAAATAACATATTAGAAGCTTCCAAATAACAAAGCTACAAATAACTTCAGGTGTCCCAATGTTCTTAAATTGTTTATAGTAATCCATCCACAAGGATGGATTATATTTTCAGAAGAAGATATTAAAGGTAAGTGGTGACTTTTTTCTTCTACCTAAACAACTTTAGGACAGGAGGTTATAGGTGTTCTGTAGCCACTTCCAGAATCATTGTTATTCCTGCTTCCTTCCTTAAACATAACAAAGCAGAAACAAACTCTTGTGAAGTACCCCCTCTCTCCTTATTGCACCATCTACTCACAGCCTTCCCCTGATGTCAAATGCAATACTTGGCTCACAATCATACTCCCTGTGGATTTTTTTTAAAGATTTTATTTATTTATTCATGAGAGACATAGAGGGGGCAGGGGAGAGAGGCAGAGACACAGGCAGAGGAAGAAGCAGGCTCCATGCAGGGAGCCTCATGTGGGATTCCATCCTGGGACCCCAGGATCATGCCCTGGGCAGAAGGCAGGCGCTAAACCGCTGAGCCACCCAGTGATCCCCCGCTGTGGATTTTTTAAAGGTGATTTCC